GGGAGGGAGGGGGGAGAAGAAAAGAGAACACACCAGACAATCAGCAATTGTCTCAGCTCCAGCCCAAACATACTGTAAGACATTGTGCTCGTGTTGGTGGACCGCATTGACTGACGCGTGGCATGCAAACACGCATACAGTAGGTCCTTATGCATGYAAGCACATACATACTCATGCATGTACACACAGTCAGTGTCATTCAAAACCATGAGCACAGGGGGACACATTGTTCTCTAATTCTCTAACCAAGCAAAGAAAACATGCAGTTTGACAGGATGAGAGAAACTTCTGCTTTATAAAGTGGATTGAATTCAGAGATTAAAACAAATAAATTGCACATGCATCCTTTATCTCCCATGAGAAAACAATGCAACTGCATTATTGATGTTACTCTTAAATTGCAACTTTATTGCTAAATATGGATGATTGAAATGATCTGTCACCGTACAAAATGCTTAAGAGCAAYCAATTCCCTATCATATCTGGTTTTGCTTATGGTTGGAATAAAGCTGGTACATTTTAGGATTATAAGAGTAATATCACAGAAAATTTGTAAGTCTTTAAGTCTTCAGGGAGATRATAGTTTTTTATGTTTGCAAACATTGTGAATTGGCACTCTGCATGTTTGCTGTCAAATATTTTCTAAAATAAGCACAATGACTGCTGAGTTGATGACATTTGTTCCCATTTCATTCATGATTATTTTTTTAAAGAATGTCCTCCCAGAGGATTAGGATTTTTAAAAGATGGTGAGCTTTTTAGTAAAGATAAAACACTCCAGCATGTTTGTATAGCTTGTTTCTGATCAAATCATTGTCAGTGTAGAAAAAGGGGATTGCAAATTACATAACTTTATATTTTCTGTTTACTGTAAATTAATATATACAATATGTGTGCATACTAAATTAAATATTTTCTATTATTTATTCAAATAAAACGTAATGCATTTATTTCCAAAACCTTTTACTATTCAGACTGATGAATGTAACCCACAGATGTTTTTGATACCTGAAAATTGCTGCATAATAATAATTTTTTAAAAAGTTGAAGTAGTGAAATAGAAATACAGCAGAAAACAAGTAAATGTAACTATAACACCAAGCTGTGGAGAAAAAAAATCAAAACAAAACAGAATAAAAAGAATAGAACTCATAAACTGCTGCTAGCGTCTCCTACACGCCCCTTGTGTCCAATTAGTAATTCACAGAGAGCGCTAATATACCACTCTCTCCACTTAGAGTGGGAAATCTCCAATTAGAGTTGATCAGCAAACAGCTTGCAACACTACAGAACATCACATTGGGAAAAAATGGAAAAGGGAATAAAGAGAAGCAGCAGCAGAAAATATAGGTATAGGGTTTATATGAAGGGGAAATAGGTGTATGGGTTAAGTGTTAAAAAAGACATTTGGGCTCCAGGCATGCCAACTATAATATAAAATTAGGAAGAATGTCTTCATGTGGGGGGGAACAAAAGGTCATAGATTGGCTGGGTTGTTCTGCTTTTTTTTTTACCTGCTCGATTTGACTGATCGATCATGGGTTGTACTATTCTTCTCCTGGCGTTAATAAACCTAGAAGCGAGAGGAAAGAGCAAAAAAAACAACGGGAGAAGTAAACAAATGTTAAATCACCCTGTATTCATGCATAAAAAAGATTCATCACGAGCCTGCACAAAGACAAACAGTTTTGCATGACTTAATGGCAACATTAGCTGCAAAGTCCTTGAGAGAGGCGCACACAACAAAACAGAAACAAACAAAAGGACAATTGTGTGCTGACTTGAGAACCCAGTGAGGGATACTTTTAATGTTCCATATGATCTATTCCCCCCTCTTTTAATAAAGCTTTTGATTACGTTCGGTTGCTATGGGCACCAGGGAGACATTCCTCAAGTATTAAGTGCAGCTCGGGCACAGAAGCTCGGGCACMTCCCTCTCTCTCTCTCTCTCTCTCTCTCTCTCTCTCTCTCTCTCTCTCTCTCTCTCTCTCTCTCTCTCTTTTCTTTTCTCAGTTAGCCAGCTGAACACAGCACAACTTCATACCTCACTCCCCAAAACATTGTTTTTGCAATGATATCCATCACTAGTTCAAAGTCAGCTYAAAGTTACAGATAAGGCAGGAAACAAGTGGCTCTTTTCATTGTATCCTACCTTTTTTCAAACCCCCTTTCCTCCACCGTCCCCCTCAGTGGGACCCCCACACTTGTTGCATTGTAGGGGGTTCTGCACCCCTTCCAGCTGTCCAGAAATGAGGACCAGGCCTGGGCCACTCCGTGCTTTCACGAGGTATTGTWATGTCAGTGAGCCCATCAATTAGGCTGTCTGAAGTTTTATCGCCGCCACTGCAGCGAATGAACGCAGCTCCACAAAGCCTCCCCAGCAAGGCTCGCTCCTGTGGCTTTCCCAGTGGTGAGCCGGGGGTCATTGGGAGGTGAGTGCCAGCYGGGGGCAACCTTTTTAACTTCGAATAGCAATGCCTTGGGCCGTGTCAAACGCAAGCTGGCCACTCGAGCGGCGCTAGACCTGTACCTTTTGCTCCRTTGTTTTTGTTTTGCCCCTTTTTCTAACTAGCTTTCTCATGTTTGCTTTTAAAAACTTAAATTTTGGACATATCGTTGCAGGTACTGCCATGTGTTTAACATTAAACAAGGGTTTCAAATCACGTTGGAGCTGTCCAGCATGCTGGTTCCAGAAAAGCAGAAGAGAGAGAGAGAGAGAGAGAGAGCGTGAGGGGGGGAAGAAAAAGGTTCACCTCCCTCCTCTAACATACAGGCCCTCGGCACCATCAATATGGCCAAAGAACTGGTCATTAGAAGGAAGGGAGAGCTGGAACCAATTTGGGCTCCTAATCCCCCATGAAGCCCTGATACCTGCCCTTACCTTCTCCAATGAATTTAAACGCCTGTAATCTGCCCAGCTCAAAGTGACATGGTTAAACGTACAAAATGCACGGCTGGGAAAAAAAAGAAAGACACGGTGCTCATTTGCTAGGGGGCATCCAGAGTGCAGGTACGTAGGGGTGCTGTGGGCCCCGAGAGGAAAAAGATGAAACACATCCATATGAGATTATAAGGAAATGAAAGAGGAGGATGGGAGGAGAGTAAGAGTTGGATTGGAAGTCATATAGGATTGTAATGCATGATTTGTGATTTAAGGGAGCACTGAGGATTTTATTACTGGGAAAGTACTTTTTTTTAAAAGAACAATGGGACACATTTTTTTTGTCAAATTCCCCAGCTGTCAGGCATTTTATGAGAAATAGTTCCAGCTTGAAAACCAGCTGAGCAAGTAAACAAAAATGCATTTCTGGCATTGCAGGTCCTCTTGAAGCACAGACGGCATCACTCGCCAAAATATACGTCCGCCGTTCTCCCTTTCTAGATGCACCAAAAGAGGTTCGAAATCACAACCATGTGCATTTGTACCTATTCTGGGTCATAACCATAAACACATAATATTAGGAATGTTCTTCCCAGGCGCTAAATCTGACCATACGGTTTCACTGCAGAGGAAATTCTCTGAAGAGTTTGCTGTAGGATCAAAGTGCCATTTTTCAGATTTCATTTTACCTCTCTAAATGTTCATGTAAAAATACTGGTTTCAGTTTATGTTTTTCTAACTTTTTCCAGGAAACATTTGACCTTAAGTCCACAAGAAGTTTTTTTAACATGTTTGCTTTTAATGAAATGGTGATTTTTAATATGAAAACAGCTCTTTATGCAGACAAACACATGCATATTTAAATGGCTGCAGCTCATATAGACTCCGTTTTTGTCAACGTTTGCTATTTGCTAACTGATGCCACATTGCGCCACAAAGTCAAGAAAGTGCGGCTTTTGCAAGCTAAGCAAGTTGCCACAGTAACAAGCAGGCAATGAGGTGCAGTGAAGGGAGTGGAGGGTGACCAGAGGGCCTCTCCTGTGGCCTTAAAGCACCTTTTATCAGTCTGAGTAAAGCCAATTGAGATTATCTGAGCCGGGCTTGATAACAATGTTTTCCCTCAACCCGTGAGCTGCTAATGGAGTGTGCTTAGAACAACACAAGCAGGAATCCTCCAGAGATGAAGGCAGTTTGGATGGATTGTCAGACGGATGGACCCAAAGCCCCAAGAGAGACACAGAGGTTGACCACAGGGATGGAGAATTCCTAAACCACTTGCTAAAACATACATATGTGCTGTAAATATGCACATCGCCACCATGGACATGACCACAACCACCGCCAGAGTGTCCACGGACTAACCCGAACCCGGGAGGCTCGCTCACACGGGACGCCGGCTTAAAAACCTCCAGCCCAAAGCTCATGTTTTATTATCTACATCTGGTGGTCTAGCTTATTACGACCTGCCTCTGCTCAGTGTTAGCGCACAGAAACACCAACACACACACACACACACACATACACACAGTACACAGCGTACCTCTCAGCATGGTAACTCCATGCTGTCTTCAAACAAATAATTAAAGCCAGGGTTGGGGTGGGGGTCACAAGGAGGTCATTCATCGGGATACGGCTTAGAATGTGTACAACGCCCCAGGAGCAGGCGGGTTAGGAGGGACGGGGGGGATCTACTGCTGTTTAATGTAAACGACTAATATCATCCAGCCAATAGGTTTTTAACACATTTTCCTGTCGCATATCAAACACCAAACTCAGAGTGTTGGGCMTGCGTTGAAGCGCATGTGTGAATGCGTGTGCATGGTCTGTGCACGCGTGTTGCCCATGTCAGCACATTCTTCACAGACTACTGCCAAATAGCCCACAGTAGCACCTCCGGCTAACAGGCTATATGGAACAGAGTAAAAGAAACACAAACACTCGTGTGCATCTTTGTTTGACGGCTCACACCCGTGACTATTTAAAGTGGAAAGTCTGACTGTTGTGGCTTTGTAGCTCGCAGAGGAAAACTGCAGACAGATATGAATGATGGAGCCAAGGCAGCAGGAGTCCACTTGACACAAGGTCTGCACAAGGCTGGATCAACACTGAATCCTTGGTTAATAATATCTGTTCTCACATGGGCGGGGAGTGGGGCTTCAGAAAATGTCTGAGTGTGTTAACTGCTCTATTCTAATGTGATAAATAAACKTCGTTGTCTTTTTAATGCTAATGAATTCTACAAAAGTTTACTGGGTTTAAAGATGGAATCATTTCAAACCAGTTCTTTGACTCAGAGCTCGCCTCTCATTCTTTTTGTTTTAACTTCCTCATCTCAATCTGTCAGAGAGGTCTTGTTTCTGGTTGACTTGCAGCCACACCTGGTAACTCGGTCCCGTTGTCAGCATTCCTCCCTTTTTTGAAATTGTCATGCCAAACCACTCTACCTTGGAGCACAGCCAAGAGAGAGCGCATATGGGAGAGAGATGAAACAGAGAGAGAAAAAGAGAGAGAGAGAGAGAGAGAGCTTGATGCTTGACGGGCCAACTACTGCAGAGATCGGAAAATATTCTGCCAATCAGGAGCAGGGTCACTTGTTCGATGAGTTTATGATGAAAGAATGAAAGAGCGAACTGGAAAAAAAAACAAAACAAAACAAAACAAAAAAACAGAGAAACACCGAACACGTCTACACTGAGGGATAAACTCTGGACTGCTCGAAACGTAAAGCACCCAAAGAAGGAATGCAGCTTTAAAAATGCAACATAAAGATGGTTGACGGATTGTCGCTTTCACGGCTGACCAGAACGCGTCCGTTTCTAAAGCTCATAAGCCGGAGAGAAAGAAGTTTCCATTCCTCCGTCAAGCAACCACGCCTCTCGGTCTGTCTTGTAGGAGGATTATAAGCAACACAATTGGAAGAAGAATTTGCTGAGCTCAGTCCATGATCACTGCTTGCAAACAAGACTGTCCTCTGGTTCCTATTAAAGCTCATTGCTTCCATACTTCCGCTTCAGACAGAAATAAAGATTCCAAACCCCCAGCAGTTGAGTCACTGAAATCAAACAAACTGTTTCAGGCTGAACCTCTGCTTAAAGAAAGACAGCAAGAAACGATAAAAAAAACATTCCTTTGAGCAGATATTGCATGCAAATTAACCCCATGAGAAGGGTGTGTTTAGTATAAGCAAACACTAATTATAGTCTGGTCAGACAGTGGGGCAGTCTGGGGGCTACTGAATCTCTAACACTGATCTATTGTAATATCAACAACAGTGATTAAATCAGCTCACATGGTTCAGCAAGGCCCCTGTAACAGTTTATACAGTAGTTAGCCACCAGACTGATTCATCATGAAGTACCACAGGGAAGCATCTCACAGGCTCTACTCCACCAGGATGAAGATGCAGGAGTAAAAGACAATTCTCAAAGTCATCCTACAACAGAAAGAGTTTTCCTTTTTCTTTTWATGAATCTTTTTTTCCCCTCTTTTAACTTAAAACAGGAGTCAGGAGACGTAGGTTGGGCGAACATTACCTCACCCCTGTGTTTGATTTAGTGCAGATGTGAAACAGAGCAAGGCAGGAACGGGTTTTAGGAACCATCAGAGAGAAAGGGCCCAAGTTTAGGGCAACCACTGTGTTTACATAGTTTTACCTCTCTCTCTCTCTCTCTTTCTCTCTCTCTCTCTCTCTC